TAACAATGTTGCGATTCAAACATCTCGAAACGTCACACGGTATCAACGTTATCAAAAAAATGACAGTTGGTTGACAATGTTGCGATTCAAACATCTCGAAACGTCACACGGTATCAACGTTATCAAAAAATGACAGGTGGTTGACAATGTTGCGATTCAAACATCTCGAAACGTCACACGGTATCAACGTTATCAAAAAATGACTGGTGATTAACAATGTTGCGATTCAAACATCTCGTTCGAAGATGCGCACAGAACCTACCAAACATCGAAACGTCACACGGTATCAACGTTATCAAAATATCAAAGGGAGATGCCGAGAAGACAAGATGGCGGACCAACGTCAGATAAGGGTTGGTTGTAATCAGAAGTCCATGGCGGGAGTTTCCCGACGCTCGTGTACTCCAGTTCTACATACGTACTTGTATACATTCCACGTACACTCGCACGATGCGTACAAAGATGTCGAGTAATTGACCTATGTGCAAGAGCGTCGCGTACAATGGCACCCGAGCGTACAGGTGCACACGTGACAAGGGTGCAGAATGCACCTGTACAGAATGCAGGAATTCGCGTGCGGCCTCGGATCGAAGGAGGGTCCTTGAAGAAGAAGGACGAGGATTCGAAAGGCAGCGAAACAGCCATTTCGATCGAAGGCCCGCCATTGTTGATCATTGTTGATAGACTTGGCCTTTGCGATCAAACCAGACACGTATGTCATGTACTTAGAGGGTTGTTAAAATTGCAACTGCAAGGAGTTACAAGGAGAAACCTGTCATATTCCCGGATTAAATTGTTGCACCTGAGGTTGAAGCCCACTTCCGGTCCCGGTTTTTTTTTTAAACAAACCCAGGGCGGAAATTCCAAATTAAATTTAAATATTCCTCCCTCGAAGGGGAATTGTTCCATTTGATAATGAGGCTTTCTGGAATTTCTCACGGATGAATTTCTGCCCTCCAATGCTTATCATTCTGGGAAATATTTTTCAGAAGTGGAGTTCCCCTCCAGGGGGCGAAAAAGATTTCTTAATTAACAGGTGAAGTAGGTAATCTAATTTAAAGTTAGGCAATCTAATTGCGAGTCGGGCACTAATATAATCGAAATAGATCTAAAATTCTTGCTAATTTTTGCGACGTGGGAAATTTCATCCATCAGGCCTCGTGGAAACTCGATAAAAATCGAGGGAAAAGTGTCTCACCTGAGCGATTTTAATTCCAGGATCGGAAACAGGGAAATTGAGGTAACTTCTCCGCGGTCCATCGTGAAAATTTCGAGAAAATGCCGAAAGGCCATGTTTAACCTCTCGCATTCAGGAGTTTCGACCTCGCAACTTCGAAATGAACTTTGAATCCTCCGCGAAGAGACTCTCCGGACTTTCGGTCCCTTTCTGCCCTGAAATTGCTATGCGGAACATCGCTCGACCAACATCGCTCCCTTCGGCTCCAATTCCGCAGACTAGACCTTAACTCTAGACACATGCGATTCGAGATACCCTACCGATGTTGCTTCCACATTGCAGCTGCATGTGCAACATCTTCGGCTGCATGTTAAGGTGAAGTGAAACCCCCTTCAAATCAGTCGATTAGAATACAACGCTTTTTTTAAGGGTATTAGACCTTTGACACATCACTCCTGATCATCTAAGAATTGTCCTGACACATTCAAAATTTGGATTTTTTTTTTATTTTTAACTCAGCCCAGACCAGAACCAAAATGGCGTCGAGCTCTGATATTTCGAACAATATACAATTATCGAAGGCTCTGATATGAGAATCGAAAGGGTCAGGACAATTTTACGACAATTTAGAACACTCTGGTAATCGATAAACTCGCATTTGAACAGGATAAGGGCAAAAAAAGTGTTAGGAAAATCTTCTTTATCGACGTCGATCAAGTTCCTCGACGTGTTTCACTTCACCTTAAGATCGAATGACACCCTTATAGCAGAATAGCGTATTTAAAGGCGACGTGAAAATGGCGTCAAAGAGATGTTCATGAAATCCCTTTTTCATACAGAAAACGAAATTTGAGCAGCGATCCGTCAATGAGAGTGTCTTCGGATTTAATGGAGAGGCTGGGGATGGGGATAAAACCATGGACACTAAATGGACATCGATGGGCCGGTCTTGAGGGTGATTGATCGGAGGAAGATGAACCCTATTGTTGTTAAGGTTTTAGGGGAAAGATTTGGGATTTCCCTTCAACTAGGCCGAAGACAAGGGAGATGAATTACTTTAATTAATATCAGACAGGCTTATGAAAATCGATTTACGAAAATGGCGACTGTTAACCCTTAAAGAAAATTCCCGAAAAAAAATTTCGATGCACGCAGAACGAACCTTTCGTATTACTTTGAGGGGACAGTATCTATTGTACGAAAAGAAGTCTGGAATAAAAGAGATGCAACCGTGGAGGCAGGTTTTCATCCTTCGACCACCCCACCTCTTGGTTCTCCGAGAGCCAGAGGTTTCCCATCTCCAGGCTCGTTGCTTCTGCTCGAAAAGTGAAATTCCCTGGTGGAGGGCTCGGCCACCCTCGAGAACCTTATGCCGACTTGCGGCCGAGTGGGGAATTCCCGCGAATGGCATTCATTTCGCCCAGGGAGTGCCTCGAAAATGCTGGAGTATGGTCCAGGGTGGAGGCGCGCGTACGGAGGTCCTCGAAATGTCCTGCTTTCGTTTGCATTTCAGAAGATCGAGCTTTTCTCAGTTTTCCAGCCTTTTGAAAATCCCACTGTGGGAGGTCTTGCTCCCTGTAGATGTCCCCAACATCCCCCAATCGGAAGGAACCCCTGCTGGAAATATCCTCCCTTAGGGTCCCTACATGTGACTCCTTGTTCCCGGGAGCGAATGCATCCTCGGCGAATGCACTTTCCTCGGATTCCGAGTTCACTGAGTGGCGTTCACCAGACGTTCTCGATGTCCCCGAAGCTGGGGAACTCGATAAACGAACCTCCACTCCTGGCGCACAATCGAGTTTCGTGCATCGCTTCTGCCTCGTGTCGTGACACTCGCACGGCTAAGAAGGTCGGCCATGACGGCCGTGAGACATCGCCTTCCTGAGATCTCGGTCGACGATACGAAACGTCGACTTCTGTCCGACCTTTAAACTCTTCGACTTCTGACGACGCGATGCGTGACTCGTTCTGGTCGACGGAAATTGTGCCCAGATTGTGATCGCTCCTGAAGGATCTTCGCATCTGATCGATCCTGGGACCAGATTTGGAAACTTTTTCCAACTCGGAAAAAGGTTTCACTCCTTCGGAAAATTGATATAGACCTTCTTTAGGACTTGATTTTTCACCTGACACGATTTATCCTGGTGAACGCTAAGGAAAGACATGGTAAGGATGCAATTTCTAATCCAACACAAAGACAGATCGTCGACTTCTGTCCGACCTTTAAGGTGAAGTGAAACACGTCGAGGAACTTGATCAACGTCGATATAGAAAATTTTTCTAAATGCCTACGTTGCCGACGTTCGTTTTTATATTGACAGCTGTATCTAATTATATTGGGTATTGTACCAAATGGCATCTGTGATTTTCAGGTCAATTCAATTTTCACTCCGAGACCTCGCATTACCATCGTTTTAGCAAAGAAGCGCATACAACACTTTTTTTACCTTTATCCCGTTCAAATGCGAGTTTATCGATTACCAGAGTGTTCTAAATTGTCTTAAAATTGTCCTGACCCTTTCGATTCTCATATCGGAGCCTAAAAAATAAAAAAAAAACAAATCCAAATGTTGAAGCAAAGACATGGTAAGGATGCAATTTCTAATCCAACACAAAGACAGATCGGCAGCCTACTTAGAAACCCTAACTAGAAGCTGGATTTAAATGTGCGTCATTTCAATGGATGAATTTTATTTCATCGAGGTCGATTCTATTTCTCAGCGCCTTTCATATCGTCCTAATCAGAGCCGCTCTCAAGGGTGAGGATAAGAGGGAAATAATGGGCGACGGTATTGTAAAAAACCTCGTAGCGCAGCAATTCTTCTTTCGTCGAATTTCAAGCACCGACCTTATCCTTCCATTGTGGAAGCCGCTTATTTTCATGAATGCTTATTATTGGGAAGTAATAATATCGCGGATCCACGCGCACCTCCGATATCGACTTCAGATTTCGGGTTACGAGGCCGGAGATATTTTCTAAAATCCCCCCATGCCATCTTCGATCATTAGCATAGTTTAGCATTATTTTTTTACCATTATGCATATTTCGATTTTTTTTTATCCCCTTTTATAAGTATTCAGAGAAAGTGGGGAGGTGGAAAGCCATTCTCCATGGCAGAGAATAATTGCAATTTCGAAAAAGTATCCATTGTCGACTTTCCGGCCATTACGAGTCGCCTCGATTTCTATTCTTTCCTCCACTTCCGCTTTCTGTTTTCCGCGATAGAGGCAATTTTCCGTGCGGCGGAACTTTACGCATCCCAGCGGCCGAAAAACCGGACGATAAAGCTCCTCTAAACCAATCCGGGCCAAATTGCATCCTTGACCCAGAAAAATCCCGTCCATTCACGGGTGGAGTAGCCTAGGTGACTCCTCAGCCTTTCCAGAATGGGAAGGAAATCGCTTCCGATTCGCAAGGCCTTCAAGAAGGTATCGTCTTTTTCCAAATATCGACATCCACACGGAATGGAGAAACGAGGATCACATCCAAAATGCCGATAAGTCGGAGGAACAAGATCAATGCGACACTCCCATCACGTCCCACTTTGGTCCAATCGAAAGATCAGTCTTCGAGGGATGTATGAATACCCTGATAGAGAGGTTCTGCAACCAGGTACTGGATGATAAAATCTTTCGATTGGATCTTTTAGCGACGAATTAATATCCTGATCGAGATGGAAGCGACCGAGCATGCAGGATATCCGGAACGGATCGGCGCAGCAATGACCAAAGACTCGATCGATGGACGGAAATGAGCGTCGAATTAAGCCCCAATTAATTACCGGGCCGGCAATCGGGCCGCAGGGAGGATGGACCAACTCACCATTGCGTGATGAAGTCGGTGCCGATCGTGAAGACCGGAGTGACGGTCCGGTTCACGTCCGTGCCGTTCAGGCCGCTGTCCGTGCCGTTCAGCTCCATGGCCCAATTCGAACCGGAACCCTCCCCGAGGAAACCAGCTCGTTCAACACCCAGTCATCTGCGAGGCATCCTGGGAACACGAGACAGACCCGTAGAAAAAAGGGTTGTTAGGATACTTCATAGGTTACGCCTAGACTTTGGATGGGTACCACCTACCCATGCTGAGTAGCCCCGGTCTACTTCAACCATTACCGTAATTTCATACGATTCTTCTTCTACTACCACATCGTAGAATGTCCTGGCCAGGTTTTGAATAAAATAAAAGAAAAACTGCGACCTTCCAATGCGGATGTTCGCACCACAACAAGACTTCATCCCGAAAAGTAGCTAAGGACTTTGGGCAACCCAATCCAATTCCACCGATGCTTGGGCATCAAGGATGAGCTCGTTTTACCTGCACTTGTTAGAGTCCTGCTATGATTTATCGTAACCTGGGAACACGAGACACAGACCCGTAGAAAAAAAGGGTTGTTAGGATACTTCATAGGTTACGCCTAGACTTTGGATGGGTACCACCTAGCCATGCCGAGTAGTCCCGGTCTACTCCAACCATTACCGTCATTCCATACGATTCTTCTTGTACTATCACATCGTAGAATGTCCTGGCCAGGCTTTGAATAAAAGTAAAGAAAAACTGCGACCGTCCAATGCGGATCCTTCATCGGGATGGTTGCACCACAACAAGACCATCCCGAGAAGTAACTAGGGACTTTGGGCAACCCAATCCAATTCCACCGATGCTTGGGCATCGAGGATGAGCTCTCGTTTTACCTGCACTTGTTACAGCTCGGTATGATTTATCGTAACCTGGGAACACGAGACAGACCCGTAGAAAAAAGGGTTCTTAGGATACTTCATAGGTTACGCCTAGACTTTGGATGGGTACCACCTACCCATGCTGAGTAGCCCCGGTCTACTTCAACCATTACCGTCATTCCATACGATTCTTCTTGTACTATCACATCGTAGAATGTCCTGGATAGGTTTTGAATAAAATAAAATAAAAACTGCGACCTTCCAATGCGGATGTTTGCACCACAACAATACTTCATCCCGAAAAGTAACTAAGGACTTTGGGCAACCCAATCCAATTCCACCGATGCTTGGGCATCGAGGATGAGCTCGTTTTACCTGCACTTGTTAGAGTCTTGCTATGATTTATTGTACCGCGAGTTGCCACCTTTAGATCGACCAGCACGACGCTAAAAGCTCGACAAAAGCTAATTTATTCCCCGTGTTCCCGAGGGGTTGGGGCCGCCTCTGTTACGCGTTGGAAATGGTAATTCGCGCGGTAACTAACGCCACCACCGGCGTTTCGTATTTATTCACAAACAACCTGCCGACTAATTGTTCTCGCGTGCTTTCTTACAGTTGGCCGGGCTTTCGAGCCGGTACTCGCGTCTTCGGAGCGTTCGACGTCCCCCGGAAGAGAAGGTGGAGGAGAGGTTGGACCTTCCGGGCTGTTCCACTCTGAAAAGCTCACCTGGGGGACGACCTCGAGCTTACTGGCTAATGGGGTCAGGTCAGGGAAACCGGGGAAAGTTTTGAGAGCCGGGATATCACCAGAAAATGGCCTTCCTTATGAGGCTTCTACATGTATCGATGACTCGTTAAGGTTACCGCTGATCATCGCGACATTGTGGACGCGGTTGAATTATTTCCACGGTCTGCCTTTTTGCATCAACCAAGACCAAGAGGATTCTGATGGTGTCTTGGTCTTGGTCTTGGTCTTGGATTTGGATTTTCTTCCAGCTCGTCCCTGGTCCTGCGTCGCCGCTCGGAGGTAGAAGGAACACGAGGAGATCCTTGATCCTTAAAATGCAATCCGAGAGCAAAGCGTTCTATTATCAGACCCGATGCTATCGTTAGACCCGGGTTAGGACGGCTTCTCGACTGCCCATCCTTTTCCTTGTCGTTAAGCGAGCTAAAGTGGCGCGTTTAACGTCTTCGGCTGCGTCTCGAGAGCCCCAAGTAACGACCCAGGCTTTGCTCATCTTTCGCCCTTTTATCTCCTCATTCTTATCTCCATAGGATACAATTATGCCGTCCGGCCAGAACATTTGTGAAAATAGAGAGATTTTCAAGCGCCTCCCATTGCTGGATCATCGCAATTGGGATCGACTAAAGTTTTGCCAAAATCTTGAAATTGACCAACTGCAAAGGACGACATAGAAGTATTGGTCGGAAAATCCTGCCAAGTGTCGGTGTCTGGATTAGGCTTATCTTTTGTCTCGGTATAGAGTCCGTGTCTCATTGCTGGATCATCGCAATTGCGATCGACTAAAGTTTTGTCAAAATCTTCAAATTGACCAACTGCAAAGGACGACATAGAAGTCTTGGTCGGAAAATCCTGCCAAGTGTCGATGTCTGTATTAGGCTTATCATTTGTCTCAGTACAGAAGTGTCGGGTATAGAGTCCGTGTCAGTCTCTCGTTTCGAGCAATCGTCCGATGCACGTATCGATCCCCGCCCTCGTCAGACTCGCGCCTATCGGCAGTGCGCGAGGACAGCTACTTTTTTTTCTTTCCCTCTCCTTTTATTTTTTTTTAACAGTGATTGTAGAGCTTTTGAGCTTGGGTCGCAAAGGGGGAGCCGAGCTCGACATACGTATCGAGCATGGAGATGCGGAACGGGGTACATACAGATAATAAAAAAAAAAAAGAAAAAATGATAAAGCTCCGGTTTGGAGGTCCCTACATCCGGTCTGCAGATGAGAGGAAATGATCCATAGATCTTCGGAAGGGGGTCATTTTCATCAACATTTCCATGGTGCACTTTTGTTACAAGTTAATGAGTGCTTTTTTAATGGGCACTCCGTACGTATGGACACTCGTTGATGGAAAAATCGTGTACAGCGTTATTGGCACCGAGACAATACTGCAATGTCTGTCTTATCGGTACAACGGTGACATGCATAGATGAATGTTCGGCCCCACAAGTGGATAAAGACCGATCAACCACGGCCGTTCATTTTTTATTCCTCCCTACAGTGATTGGTATTGGTTACCGATGCACCAAATGTTAAACATTTTTCCAAGCCGTTCAGAATTTCAAGAGGGATAATTGTAGAAGTTCTGATAGTGGACATGTTACAGTGAAACACCGAAATCTGGAGAATGTCGGTTTTCACCGGTGAATGTTAACATTCACCGGTAAATGTTGACACTCACCGGTGTGTGATTGTCGACACACACTGGAGAGGGTCCGAATGTACAACGATGTAATGAAATATTCGATCTTTCACCGACGTATTTGGTATCTGTTGACATTCACCGGTGAAAGTCGACATTCTCCAATTTCGGTCATTCACGGTAACACACACATATCTATCCAGTCTTATCAACGTCAATCCCTAGGACCTAAAAGTCCAGATCGAACCTTGCGGTTCATTGGGCTGACACCTCGGCTCTTTTTCCGCGTTTTATGTATTTCTTTTTTTTTTATTTTTTTTTTCCCTCCCACGGGGTATTTCTCTCTCGTTCCTTCCTGGTTCCGCCAGTCATTGCTTTGCATTCGCCTCTGGCGATTTTTTCTTCCTGGTAGGCCGATCGATCCCTGCTGGGAAAATGCTTCGACGCTATTGCGTGCGCCTCTTCGGGTTTAAACTCGAAACAAATGTAGCGGAATGGCAGAACCCGGTCAAAAGCTGCCTATTCGGGACAACAGGGACGTGGTGTCGATATCGACTTCCCAGTATATCGATTTGTGATAGACGATCGATTGCGAAACGACGAGCCGATCGGGCCAGTTCGAGTTTTCCAGGATTACTCGGCAGGGCTTGAAGAAAAAGCTCGGCTTACATTTTTTCCAGGACACTTTGCAATTTAAGGTGAAGTGAAACACGTCGAGGAACTTGATCGACGTCGATAAAGAAGATTTTCCTAAATGCCTACGTTGCCGACGTTGGTTTTTATATTTTATATCCATTTTTTCCAGGACACTTTGCAATTTAAGGTGAAGTGAAACACGTCGAGGAACTTGATCGACGTCGATAAAGAAGATTTTCCTAAATGCCTACGTTGTCGACGTTGGTTTTTATATTGACAGCTGGGTCGAATTATATTGGGTATTGTACCAGATGGCATATTCCACCTGTCGTTTTCATACAATTATTATAAAGAAATCCAAGTAAAGCTCCAGAAATCCTCTGGATTCGTGCTTTCTGAGGCCCTAATTGACTGCAGAGGGACCCCCTGCGCCATCTGTGATTTTCAGGTCAATTAAATTTTCGCTCCAAGACCTCGTATGCCTATCGTTTTAGCATAGAAGCGTATACAACACTTTTTTTGCCTTTATCCCGATCAAATGCGAGTTTATCGATTACCAGAGTGTTCTAAATTGTCGTAAAATTGTCCTGACCCTTTCGATTCTCATATCAGAGCCTAAAAAATTAAAAAAAAAACAAATCCAAATTTTGAATGTGTAAGGACAATTCTTAGATGATCAGGAGTGATGTGTCAAAGTTTCGAACATTTTGGTCTAATACCCTTAAAAAAAAGTGTTGTATTCGAATCGACTGATTTGAACGGGGGTTTCACTTCACCTTAAGGAAAAATTACTTACCGCTAACAGCTCGCGTTACAGCCGCGGCATTTCTTTTCGGAAAAGTGAGGCTAGGGAATGCTCGTTAAATCTTTACGGCGTAGTTTGGAAAAATGTTCTCCGCAGTGTTTGCGAGATTTACAGAGATCTAGGTGAAGCAATTTCCTCGTTTAACATTTCGCGCTCTCAGAAGGGGGAATTTCTTCGTTCCGTGATCGAATGGGCGTCTCTTGTAAATTGAGAATTCTCGCTAATTGTTTAATCAATGACTTAGTGTTTAAGTTCGCACAACAGGTGCGAATCCCTTATAAACTGGGGCAGGCGCCGAATAATTTCCAATTCCAAGAAGTTACCTGATTACAAGGTGTGCATGTAATTTAGATCGATTAATTCGCGGCAGGTTTCACTTCTCCTTAAGGTGATGTCAAAGTAGCGCCGAATCGATGCAAACTTTATAA